TGTATGTATGTATGTATGTATGTATGTATGTATGTATGTATGTATGTATGTATGTTTGTATACGTATAAGCGTGATGTCTTCTTTACTCTGTCGTTTTCGTTTTTGTTTTTGTTGTCTGTTTTCCTGTTTTTAAGCTCCTTAACACTAGGTAATAATAATTGTTCGAGGGTCTAGCAGTTAAGCTGTTCACCTTTACATGTAAAAGACCTTTTTCGGATCCCTTCGTGGCTGTGTATTTGTTATGTTTTTTCATCCATTATTTCTGCCTGCCTGTCGAGATTCTTTAGACTCTTTCCCCCTCATTCCTAGAAGGCACTTTTAGTCAAGATCGAAGCAGCCCGCCTCCTTGATTACCCAAATTGTGTGAATGGGGGTGTAAAACACCGACCCAACCACAAGCGTCCAAGTCTCTCAAGTGGCCCGCCAACGTATTTAACTGCACGAGAAGTTTGTATCACATCAGGGCGTCGTGAACTTCCGTGAACGTTAAGACAAAAAGAAATAATATATACTTCTGCAAAATAGTGTCCAAGGAGGAGGGAAAAAAAGAGATGTCTCCCAGACTTTAAGTGGCTTAGTGACCTTCGAGCCCGCCTCCCCTCCAACTGTCACTTTGTGGTTGTTTTTTCCCCGCTCAGACCAGGACGTGGATCCGTAGCCTAGGGCTGGGCAATGGGTCGCTTAGCAAAATCCGGATAATATGTCAGTCCACCTCTTCGGAAAATAATATATAATGAACCGCTTCGACAAACGGGTTAGATCCATTTCGACAAACGGGTTAGTATCACTTCAACAATTAATGGGTGCATCCTCTTCGGCAAACGGGTAAGGAAAGAGAGTTAAGTGTCTGAATTCGGATAACATTTCATTGAGAATTATCCGGTTATCCGGATAGTTTATCCGGATTTTGCCCACCTCTACCGTAGCCTATGCTAGGTCTAAGCCTTTGTTGTAAGGTAGAGGGCTAGAGTCTAAGGTCTAGACTAGACTAGAGTACATCTAGGCACCTGAAGACAGAGTAGGGGACCCTTGGCGTGCATAACACATTTATTTGGCAATGTCGTTGTGCTGGTACAGGGAGAGAGTAGAGAGGCGTTGTGACTGTGAGGATGTATGTACGAGTAAGTTGTTTTCATTTACGTGCAGTTGTCATAATAATATATTATTTGTTTTGTTTTTGTAGGAGTCCCTGTCTGTCTGTCTGTCTGTCTGTCTGTCTGTCTGTCTGTTTGTATGCATATCTCTCCCTTTCACTCTGTCTCTCTCCCTCTCTGTCTATCTATCTGTCTGTCTATCTGTATATCTGTCTGTCTTTCTGTCTGTCTGTCTCTCTCTCTCTCTCCCTCTCTCTCTCTCTCTCT